AKWAMAKTWWMTKTTYWCAGTTTATTAGGAACTGTTAAGATAGCATTAAAGGGTCTAAGCAAAGGAAAAGGAAACAAGGAAGATAAAGATTTGCCGTTAMTGGATGGATCTCAAAGACCTACTAAAGTAATGTGTGCACAGCATATGAGATATGATTATATAGGCCTGGTGTGCAGGCGACTTTGTATATTCTCACAATGTAGAGTTGCAGTTTTCCCATCAAATTCATCCTTTTGCCCGCGTTGATTCTTGTAAAGAAGCGAATTGTTATCGACTAATCCACCCAACAAGCAGACTAAAGCCCGTTTACACTTGCGATWTTTGAAGCGCGATTGTCGCATGCTTGAAATTTAGTTGCAGCTCGCGGCGATTGACAGTCTYAGGATATGATCCGAATGATTGTTTTATAACTTTTTCTTTATGCGCAGGGCAATGTTCAGCTTAGTCTCGAGTATCAAGCGCCGCCAAGTGCTGATAAGCCAGAAGAAGAACAAGAMGACGAAGGTTATGAAGAATCAGAGGTAGAAGGTGCACCAGGAGCAAAAGGGTACGTCATAAATTCTCAATGAATAAATATAAATGGTTCAAATCTGAAAGAATTAATGCTTTTKATGAGTGTCTGACGACTCTATATAAGTAAAAGCTTGTCATAAGTGACGCGGTCCTTGATTTGTTGACTTGGACTTCATAAACATAGAGATACGTTTGTATCATTAGGSCAAGAAAAAGACGAAAGAAACGCAAGCAGTTATCGGACAAAGTGCAAGACTTTCAGGTACCTGGTAGAGAGTAGATTTAAAAGCCTTCATGATAGTTATATAGAGTGTCTCGGGATCCCTTTATCGATTATACACTGCATTTATCACTCAACGTAGATACGCATCAAGATCCACGAGGCGCGTCATTTGCCCGGTTCGAGTATTCACCCTCWAGTCAAAGTGAGTGTGTCCGATCAAGATCGCTCTACTAGAGCCAAACGATATACYAACCGACCAGTCTTCAAGCAAGTAAGTCAGCTATCCTGCTCAGAGAAGGAGAAACATCTTTACTTTGACGGCATTGTGTTTTTTCTATTAAAATTTTGATCAGATTGATAGCAACTTATAGCAACCAATAGGAAGTTGATCTCTGCTCCCGGGCAGGGGCTCGGTTTTACAACATTCCTTACWCATTCCACACATATTAGTCTAAAAMCACTGGCCTAACGAGAATCAAGGAAAAGTTCAGTTTTACCATTGTAATAAAGCTAAAAAACRTTGATTTTTTTTGTTCKTTGTTTAGAACAATGATTTTTTYATCTTTTCTAGTCSTTCACSTTCAACTTCCACACATCTCCTGCTGAACTTTTCGACGATTTGATTTGTTTTGAGGTAAGAATAAGTCTAAAATATAACTTATAGTGTTGTCTYCTGGRGTCTGATTGTATGTCTTTTTGTCAGGTCTTTGACTCCCSCAAATACCGCATTGMCTCATTGATYAGCTTTTTTCAGGTAAGTTGAAAAGAAGATGGACTCAAATAATAAGCAAACTGCATATCGTGTTTTACTCTCTTTAGATTCCTGTAGGAGAAGTCTTTGACATGAAAGGTAATTTAAACTCCATCAATTCTAGTTGAAGTAGGTGGAGTTATGCTAACTGATTGCGTATTTTGATTAATATATAGTTAATATCTGWTTGTATAATATAGGTCACCATGTCTTGAGAAGATGGATGTTACTTAGTCTTCCTGAAGGAGAAGACGATGACGAGGAAGAACAGCAAGTCAAGGTAAAGTTGTTTTATCATCCAGTGATCTTTCATTGTGATTTCATTATTAATATRTCCSACTTCTGTTMACGGAACAGCCTCCTGAACGAAAAMTTGGTGAGGTAAAAAAGAAAAAGAAGAAATCGCGAAGATGTGGATCCCCCGGGGTAAGGAATGTATTACGTCGCATCATTRTCCAGCGGTACTCRCCATTGATGAAATACGCTCTTTGTAGGGATATCTCAAAGCCACGGTCATCATTTTAAGTCCTGGGGACGAGCCTCCGGTAAGAGTGTTTGGTATAGTGTGATGTATGGATGTTTGTTTTTATATGTGTTCTGTACTTAACCTGTAGCTGCCTTCAAAGCTTGCCGGTGAAGAGGATGCCGATGATATCGAAGCGTGAGTGCTGTTATTCAACGTGACAATGAACTAAATTTACTTTTTTTTACTCTTCATTGTTTTTGTACCAAGGAATCTACTGCGTCCGACAGGTGTTGACCTTCAGCCTGGGATATTCTCAATAAAAATTTTCATGGCRGAAGATATTCCACAAAGTAAGGACTCATTACAGCAGTTAACTCAATGCGTCCATTGTATTTTCTATGTCTATTTTTTTCAAACCGCTTGTACTTATATTTTAGTGGACTCGGCCTCAATGCAAGGCATTAAGAAGTTTTTTGGCTTTGCCAAGGTAAACAAAAGAYTTCGTATCGTGTATTTTTGATTCATCTGATGCTTACGTGTTTTGTTTATTCAGAGTGAAGACAAATTGGTCGATCCTTACGTTAAATTTGTTTTTGCTGGAAAAGAGGTTGGTAGATCAGTTTAAGTGCAAATAATGAGACGATAATGGTGATATGGTGGAAMGATGAATTATAATCAGATGATGACAGTGATCGTGTATAATCATGTTCTCTTTGCTCACTCATTCAACTTGAAAGGTTGAAACAGCAATCAGGTACAAGAAAGATAATCCTGAATTTAATCAGATTCTACGCGTCAAGTCAAGGGTTGGTATTACAACGTTTACTGAGTATGTTTTAGCGTTTTTAGAGTGGTTTTCATAAGCCCGTGAAACAAAGTGTAATAATTAGAGTGTAATAGATCGTAATAGTCGCGTAGAGACAATAAAAAACAATAGAGCCAAAGTGTAATAGCGATAAATACGCTAAAGTGTGTTTCACGGGTTAATGAAAACCACTCTAATGAATTGTTGTTATAATTTTACTTAGTTCCCCCCGATGTGCGATTGGTTGAAGCTGCAGCTATTTGATTGGTAAGCTATGTCATGAGTAACTTCATTCGTTTTGCCTAAAAACTTAGAGTCGAGCTTTAACCTGCAATATTTAAATGTTACCAGGGATCGTTTGACAGATGATGACTGCATTGGAACAAAGAATATATTTATACCTGATATATCAGGACGAGGAGAAGGAGGTATTATTGATATTAATAATCTATTATTAGTGAACAATGATTGAGACTACGATTATTCTTTGGGGCGTGTCTATGCAGGTTTTCTGCCCACTTTTGGTCCTTGTTTTGTCAACTTTTACGGATCGCCGAGAGAATTTTCAGAACTCCCCGACGAATTCGAAGACCTGAACTTTGGAAAGGTTTGTTGTTYTAATGCATACAAATTCTGAAAACTGAAAAAATGCTTTGTCATTTTCAATTTTCCGTACTGTTTCAGGGCGAAGGAGTTGCATACAGAGGAAGAATGATGGTGGAAATCGAGACATCACTTGGCAATGAGATTGAAAAGGAGGTGGATTCAATAAGCACACAGGATGTCAGTCGATCTCTAGTATGCAAAACTAACTTTAATTCACATGAAACATTTTTACCTCAATCCCTGCTTAACTTTGCAATTTCTCCGATCACTCAGTTCGGTGTTTGTAAGTCTCTTTTGAATCTTTCATTTTTTAGACTCTTTTACGCCGTGTTAAGTACAAACTTTTTGCTTGTTTCTACGAGGCTACAATGGTAGCAGAGACCGACGGACCGGTGGAGTTTGAAGTCAGCATTGGTAAACATTCATTTTTATCTTCGGCTCCACTGTCGTTATCACTATTATATTCCTGTTTACTATTCAGGTAACTATGGTAACATGATGGATGAGTCAGTAGTGCCCTCCAACACCCCTCCTTGTAATGCAGTGTATGACGGTACGYATTATTACTATCTACCGTGGTCTGGTGACAAGCCGTGCGTCTGTGTAGAGTGTTACTGGGAAGACATAGCATTTAGACTGGAACCTCTCAATGCCTTGGCAAATATCATCGAACRACTGGTAGGGCTGGGTCCTCCTTGTTTTCACTTGCTCTAWTTACAGATTTTATATATGAATAGAAACATTTTTGTTCATAGGAAAATAAGATAAAAATAGTGCAGTGCATGAACACTAMTGGAGAACAGCCAAAGGAAATCGCAAAAGTGTTGTTTGAACTTCTCGATCAGCTTATCGAGGATTGCTCGTAAGTACTGACCCCTCGCACATATGAATGTCTTTAAAAATAATAATAACTCTTGTCTTTGGACAGAAAACCGTTACCAAAACCAAAAGGACAGAGAAATAAACTTGACGTCAAGTTTGAGCGTCAACGAAATGAAGAAATGGTATAAAATACGWTAAAATGACATGTTATTGTTACGARATCATATTCACGGTCTGTTTTTCTCTGTCGTTAGTCTTGCGTTGCAATTAAAGCTGCTTCGTTAAAGGAGAAAGCGACAGACATTTCACAAGCGCTTTCCGACATTCAGGAATATCTTGGAATTTTACGGGACCTTCTCATAGAGGTATGTACTTACAT